TCATCCTCGGCGTCTAAAGGGTTAACTCAAAACCACACGCTGAAAGGTGCACCTGATTATGATGCAAAAAAAAAAAAGTGACGCCCGTGTTTCATGCCCTTCGCCACTATCTCGACAGACAGCGTGTCTGCTGGAGGCGCCGGCGTCACACTTGCTGGATAGTGACGGACGTACAGAAGTGACAGGACGCTTTTCTACCAATCATAATCAGGCACCAAGCTCCACAAACATACAGTGAAGGCGGCATTAACATAGCTATCACCATTAAAAAATTTTTCAAGAATAAAAAATTAAAAAAACGCTCGTATAGACACAGCCTATCACAGTTGTGATTATATTCCTAGTAATAAACCGTTTCTTTTTTTTTTTCATTAATGCTTGATATACCTTGAACTTGTTGCAAAACCAAATACCTGAGTGGAAGATGAGCCTGGCCCACCCTCTGGGACAGTTGCAATGGGCAGGAGAGTGATTTTAGCCATGTCATGTATTTCGTCGTCCGCAGCAAGGTCAGTGTATTCTTCAAATACCAAATCCAGCATCTGTAAAATGTATGCGCATGGACTAGCTTCACATATATCTAACCCAAAAATATTTTTATATAGTTAGTAAATCAGCTCCAGAGGCACTTAGCTTCTTTTCAGTTCTCATATGTGCTGGCTCAAATCAGTCCTATTCAATGAAGAGTAAAGGCTATAGGCACGAGCTCGTGCACGTTGACCGGAAATGGCCATACGCACGACGTGGAGAGCTTACTGTAAATATTGTCAAATGCCCTACAAAAAAAAAGTAAAAAAAAAAGAGGTGTCTAGCGTTACGTCCAACGCAGTGGCTAGCGTTACGTCCAGACAGAGCACTGAAATGGATATGCCTAACCTTCTCCCCCACCCTCCTCTCTCGCCCCTGTGAACCTAGGGAAGGCGGCGATTTGGACGTACGGTGTGGCTAGCGTTCCAGACGGAACGATAGCTGCTACTAGAGTTCCGTCTGGAACGCGGAGCTAGAGCTCGTGCCATTTGGGTCACCCTTTTCCGACGGCGCGTGTATCATTGGGGGGCTCGTTAACACCCCCCCCCCCCCCCTCCCCTGCATTCACGCCGCTTCGCGGCGACAGTATGCGGCTGCTAATTACAAAACTAAGAGGGAGTTTTCGTAGACCATGTTTCGTTCACCGCTAAGCCCTCTGCAACGAAGAAGCCGCTACTGCGCCTGTGCGCCCATGCCCTTGACTGTAGAGTTCCGACATCATAGCAAGCTGCGTAGGGCATTGCGGGACGGCGAAAACGGTCTATGAAAACTCCCTATTAACCCACTTAGCCCTCCGTACACGCCGCCCAGCCAGCAACCCAAACCCGCTATGCCCTATTGCACCTCCGGCCATTTAGTTCAGCGAAGTTTCGTCGACAACATGCCTTCATGTCTTTCAGAGATAATTGTAAAAGAGAAATGTAAATACCGACAAAAAAAAAATCGAGAAGAAAAAAAAAGAAGTAAACCCACACTGCGGTTCGAACCCGGGCCCGCTGCGTGTAAGGCAGACACCTTTCCACTACACTACACCACCACTTCAGGAAGGATAAAGCCTACGGACTCCGGAGTGCACTTCAAACGGAAATGGCTGTACGCACTCCGCTAGTCTCATATAAAAGGAATAGTCACAACAACTCATTCTTTTAAGCGGTGGCATAGCGTAGTGGTTAAGGTGTCAGCTTCGTACGCTAGTGGACGTGGGTTCGATCCGCGGTGGTCCCACTTTCTTTTTGTTTCGTTTTCTCAAACATTTTGTTTTGTCGAAGCATTTGGCAATATTTACTTTTTTTTTTTTTTTTCCCCGGTGAACACTAAGATTCGTTGCCGACGAAACTTCGCAAAACTAAATGGTACGGGACTCCCTTTCCTGATGCGATCGGGGACAGCGGGGCTTGGGTTGCCGGCTGGACGCCGCGAAGCGGCGTGTACTGGTTACGTTTTGTAATTAGCAGCCTCACACTGTCGCCGCGAAGCGGGGGGAACGCAGGCGGGCTCCCCAGCGATACACGTGCCATTCGAAAAGGGTGACCCGAGCGGCATGAGCTCTCCGCAGAGTGCGTGTAGCCATTTCCGTCCGAAGCGCACTCCGGAGTGCGTATAGCTTTACTCCTTCAGAAACTAGCCTTCAACATTTGCTTTATACGAGACCCAACTTGGACGTTACTTTAGTGGCGACCATCGTTCCGCCTGGACGGAACTCTAGACACTTCCTTTTGGATTACAATGTCGCTTGCTCCCGTTGCTTTCATGCGGATTGCCTCGTCGCGCGAGTGACCGAGCGACAGCGAAGCGGGTTCACCGACGCTTGCCTCGTCACTCGCCAAATCGCTTTCATGCGGTCTATACTTTACTCTTCGCGCTAAAACGTCATTTCCTTATATAACATGTACCCTTTCCAAGATAGATTCGAAGATGACGGTGGTTTAGGCGGTTAAAATCTTATCACTTCGATATTTTTTTCTGGATTAGGTGGTTCACAGCTTCGCAGTTCGGTGTCTTCTCTATCCTTCGTTTACTTAGCTTACTGTGACCTGCTACAGTTCGAGCACGGGGAAAATGTCAACAGAAACGAGGCACTTGCCTGAAACCTGACAGAAGACAGTTTGATGGAGTTCCCAAGAACGGGGCACGTAGCCACCGCATGTTTCAAAGAGTTTACCGATCCATCCTCGAGCTTGAAAGACCTGGCAGCCTGTAGGTGAGGCACGGTGACCAGACACCGCACGGGCGGCATTGTCGAACGCTGCTAAAGCCACGCGAGCAGCTAGGCGCGAAAATACTGACATTCGTTTGGCTCGTCAACTCGGTAAACTCGCCAACCGTCATTCGTCACCACCGCAAGTAACGCGCCAAACAGAACAAAGGAACGATAAGTGGGTGAAGGCTGTGGGTGGATAGATGGCTGAACCGATGGTTAATGGTGTATATGTGGCAGCTTGCGCCACCTAGTGTAGCTTAAGCACACAATATATTCCGGAAAATACTTGAGGAACAAACCGCGCCAAAACTAAGAATTTAAACAAAAACACTTTACTATTCGTAAAGACAGGGGACGGGAGAACACCATCTTTCAATTTTCAACAAACAAATGATTTATTGCCGGACGCTTCTCCTTCGGAGTTCCACTACAGGAGAGGGAAAGTTAAAAGGAGGGGGAAGGGGAAGGGGGCGGACAAGACAAGGCCCCGGGAGAAAACTCGGGGAAAGTAAAGCGCAGAGACAGCGGGAAGGAGGGGGAGGAAGGAGGCATCCCGATTTCCCTCTCAGGAGTAGGGACCACTCGCCCGGCCCGCCAAGGACGGCAACTCCGGTCTAAGGAATGTCACCTCTCTCTCCGACAGCGACAGCGAGGCCGAGGAAATGTTCTTCGGCGCCTCTTTTATGGGGTACGCCTCCACGATCTCGCGCCCGTAGCGGTTCTTGTTGGCCCCCAGAACACGCGCGGACGGGAACTCGGGGGCACATGGAGCGCAAACCTTGAGGTGATGGACCATGGGGTGTTGGGAGTCCCCCTCGTTTTTTTCTATTTCTCTCTCATGTTCGCGCAGGCGGTCGTTGAGGCAGCGGCCCGTCTGTACGATGTACTCTGCCCCGCACGAGAAGGGCACGGAATACACCCGTCCGACCGCGCAGGGAACGAAAGGGGCCGCGTGCCTCTTGGCGCGGCCTCAACTGCCACCTGCGCGAACATAGGAGAGAAATAGAAAAAAAAACGACGAGGACTCCCAACCAGGGGCGGATGCAGGAATTTCCTGAGGGGGGGGTCAGGTGTTGGTCAGCGCACCACATGTTTAGGACCCCCCCCCCCCTCTCCCTCGTTTCACGCCCTAAATTTTACACATGCAGAATTCAAGAGGGGGGTCAGGACATCCGGACCCCCCCTCTAAATCCGCCCCTGCTCCCAACACCCCATGGTCCATCACCTCAAGGTTTGCGCTCCATGTGCCCCCGAGTTCCCGTCCGCGCGTGTTTTGGGGGCCATCAAGAACCGCTACGGGCGCGAGATCGTGGAGGCGTACGCCATAAAAGAGGCGCCGAAGAACATTTCCATTGACTTAAAACGAAAGAAACACACAAGAGGACGAAACAGACGACACAGCTTTCGACTTGCAGCTACAGATTTACTGGGGCGGCTAGCCGCTCAGAGCTCGACTTGGGGAGGCGATGGGGAAAGAGGGGAGGGCGATGAGGGGAGGTGTAAGAACACAGGGAGACCGTTGCGGGGGCGAACACAGCGGGCTGTCGAGGGAGGTGACATTCCTTAGACCGGAGTTGACGTCCTTGACGGGCCGGGCGAGTGGTCCCTGCTCCTGAGAGGGAAATTGGGATGCCTCCTTCCTTCCTCTCCTTCCCGCTGTCTCTGCGCTTTACTTTCCCGCAGTTTCCTCCCGGGGCCTTGTCTTGCCCCCTCTTTCCCTTCTCCCTCCTTTTAACTTTCCCTCTCCTGTAGTGGAGCTCCGAAGGAGAAGCGTCCGGCAATAAATCATTTGTTTGTTGAAAGTTGAAAGATATGTTGTCCCGTCCCCTGTCTTTACGTATATAACTCTTTCTGAAACCTATATCATTACCAACGCGCTCACTAACAAGTTTACTACTCGACAGCTCTCAAAATTGAGGATACGTAAACGGCGTAAACAGGCAACGTCCAGAAAGTAATGGCGGCACCTTGCACCGCATAGAGCGCCGAGCTCATGGTCGAGCTGCTTTGCCGGCTTTGCCACACTCCGCCATTGATCTCTATATTGCTCTCCGCCACCCCGCCAAAGTTGAGTGGAGTGTCGGAGACCTCTTTTCAACAGAATGAAAAAACATTTCAAGGGCACAGCAATGCACAATTTTGAAGGGCTGTTCTCATGTTAGCCATCAAACGCATGTGAAATTATTAGGAACGAAACTATACATATGCATCTACGTATCCTTCGATTCATCTACCCAAAGCCGTATGCAGCTAACGCCACTGATCTCAATGGCCAACGCAGGCGCGTACGCGCGTACTTTCGGAACGGATACGTCTTTGGCTTTGCTTGGTTTCGTCCACAATTGTCATAGAGATCAGTGTCGTCCACGTACTATGAGAAGCGGCAACTCTTCAGATAGCGGCCATTTTACACCTCCGGCCCCCTCCAAAAAGAAAAAAAGTATATACAAGCTCGTTGAATACAGCATGGGAATGTACCTACATCGTTGGAAAGTACTAAGGGTAATCATTTTGCTTTCTGGAAAAAAATGTGTTTTACACCTGGCCGCTGGAAATTGGAATTAAAAAAAAAATGCTGCAAGCAAAAAACGCAACTAATTTCTACGTGTGTTTCTTAGTATATTATTTATGATGTTATGTTATGTATTAAGACCAATGAGAAATACACAAAGGTCTTTTTTTTACTTTCTTTTTAGTATCTACTGGTTGTTTGGTGATCTACTGATATGTATGGGGCCCATCTACTGACTTCGATTTTTTTTTTCCATCTGGTAACGCTGGTCCAGCATTTGCTGGCACTGCTCGCAGCGCGTGGAGGGCTGTCACGGCTTCACTTTACGTTGGCTGCGCTCATGTGGAGTGGCCGCGTGGGCACCTGCTTCGGTTCCCCGTCCTGACCACGTTGTCCCCACTCACGGGGTGTGGCCGTGTGGACACTTGCTTCGGTTTCCCGTCCTGACTAACGAAACAGCCACTGCAGAGCATCACATCCGAGCGACGTCGTACGCATCCAAAGGTATATATGACCCAGGACGCGTTGATTTCGGTCTCTGCCTGCTCCTGTCAATTTGACGCACGCTGCGTTCCGCGTTATCTTCCACCCGCCACAAAATCTCGCCGTGGAAGAAGCGCCGGGGAGAGAGAAAGTCAGCTTTTTCCTCAGAGCAGAGCCACCGAAAATTGGCAGCCTTGGCGGAGCGGGCGAATGAACATGCTGGTGGGAAAGAAATCGGGATGCCGCCTTTCCTTCCGTTCTTTCCCGCTATTTCGGCAAGTTTCGTTTTCGCACCGTTCCCTTCACGCGGCTTTCTCTGGAGCCACTCTCTATAGCACTGATGTGATTGCTGCCCCAAACTGCGCCAAGGGGCTAACCCCGCTACGTCCTGCTACGGTAGCCTGCGCCAAAGGACGAATATTGGTCGCCTTTGAAAACCGAAACTAAACCGGGTACCGTAATTGAGCACACATGAGCTAGGTGGTTCAAGCAGCCGTCCGACACAGTACCCTGCATCAATCGTTCATCTGGTCTTGCATGGTTTTTCCTGCCGTCTCTAGTCTCGCGTCTTTTAAAAAAAATTTAATCATAGACATGGGCATGTGCGGACGCTACGACGCTAGCGTGCTGGTTACCAGCCATGCCGTCATGCTGTGAAACGAAACCATGTTTTTGCGCGGCGGGAGTGATTTTATGGGCTGAAGCACTCGCTCCTAAAAGCAACGGCCGTGGCCAACCATATTTGGTCCCTGCCTTCCAGTCACTGTGGTCGCACGACATCGGGTGTTGCCGTCCCCACGTCACTGCAGTAATGGCACTTTCTGAACTGAAACGTAAGGACAATCCTGTTCTTGTTTAATGCGCTACTACAAACATACCTTAAGCTCAAAGACTGCAGTGTCGAAGTATTGATTACCTAGGTTAATCTCGGTAGGCTTTCTTTCGAGACGTACCCGGGTACGTGAAAAATGAGCCGCGAAAGGAAGTTGGTGAAGAGAAGTGAGCTAAAGCAAAGAACGCAATGTCCGCATGCTGAACCCGCACAGCGTGCTTATTTGTCTCGAGTTCAGTCGTTGCACAAACCGATCCAAGAACTTTTTGATCCTGGCTCGCGATGTCTTGCATCGATGCGCTCAGGTTTTTTTTTTTTTTTTTTTCCTCTTTCTTTTTTTTTTTTCTTTCTTTCTTTCTGTGTTTAGCTTGTACCTCGTTTGCCGCCTTGGCAAGAACGTGCCGCTGGACTTTTTTTTTTTTTTTCTCGTATGTTGGACAGTTACATTTTGCATACAATTTTGGGAATTAGTTGAGGCGGAGCGGAGTGGCATGGTTTCGATCGAACAGCCATCTCCGCTCGCGCGACAATTTTGCATTACAAGGCAGTAGTTACGTGCTTCATCAGTCGGAGATTGCTTCCATTTATTGTATTACTAATAAACCTAATAATGTGATATCTACTACTAAGCTGGTCATTTTCAAATAAATTTAAACATGTGGTCCGATATATTTGTATCACGTCCGGGTCACCAAATGTAGAAAAAGACAGACGAAAAGCGGCTACGTCTGACAAATTCCAAAATCGAGCTGATGTGGCACTTTTATTCCACGCGATCTTCTTTTTTCAATGGCTATCGCCACAAACTGAAGCATTACAAAATGTGTCATGTCATTGGCATTTCAGTTACATGTTGAATGACTCCCAGGTGGTCTATGTTAACAATAATTGGTTGATTGCGGCGAGCAATGTGTCCTTCGTTTGTCCACTACTTGAAATGAATATATATTTTTCTCTACGGATATCTGCTCCAAAAGCCAGATTTGCTGTTCCACAACTCTGTTTTGGCTGCTCCAGAGGGTGCTCCAAAACGGCTTAGGCCAATCACATCACTGCAGTAAAGCGAGGTTACCCCTGCTCTAACTCGACAATACTTTGTGTGTTGAAAGTTGAAAATATGTGTTTTCTTGTACCCTGTCATCGTGTTTAGTGGCCGTGCTCTATGTTTTACAAATATTTCCAAATAAAAGTTATGCTTTGTCGTTTAGAGTCATGTTCGCAAGCGATGACTCAGTACGGCAAAAAGAAGCGAATAACTTTATATATGATACTGACTAATGGCATATGATATAATTTATCTTCTCTAAACTTACTTCCAACTTAGTTTATCTTGACGCAGAAATTAATTTATTGCAATTACATACTTCACGCCACATTGTAATGTTTAATGTCGGAAGAGATTGTGCTCTTTATGTTTCCTCGGTCCTTTGAAATGAAAACATGGACAGAAAAGACACAAAGGAAAAGGATGGACAAGGCACGACTTTGTCCTTTCTGTCTCTTCTCGATTTTTATTTCTTCGATACCTGCATGTCAGTGCAACTGAAGGAAGAGTAAAGGCACAGGCAAGAAGGTAAATTTAAAACGTTGGTAAACTTTAAAAACAAGAGGACAGAAATGAGACACGGAAAAGGACCACACACCCACCGTCTCGAAGAGTTCACAGCTGTGTTAGAGACTGCGTGTGTTTTTTTTTTTTTTTTTTTCGTTTGTGTGTGCATCTCCTTTTTCGGTGTTTCTCGGGTTTAGAAACGTTACATTGCACTTTGCCTCTTGTTGATTGCGTGTAGTGTGAGCATCAAACTTACGTAACGAAGGTCATATCAATGAAAAGAGGGCTTCTTTCTTTTCAGATGCCAGGTGTCCGATACTTCCGGTGCCCAAGGTGTGCGTCCCACATTTTTTCGTTGAGGGCACTATTCAGGCACTTTCACTCAGTTCATGGGTACGAAAGCAACTGGGTGTGCGGCCTAAGTGGCTGCATGCGGACATTGAAACTCTTCGCTTCCTATAAAAAACATGTGTACAGAAATCACCCTGGATCAGTCGAAAGAGAAAGAGCCGTGGGAGCGAATGAACTGGTGGATGCAGCACCGAGTGTTGGGGATGCCTTTCAAAGTGATGACGTTGGTGTACAGAGTAATCCGGACGCAGAAGAAAGGCAAGAGGAGCTGCGTACAGAGACTTCACAAGTGTGTGAATCCACCCAGGGTCCAAGCGGCTGTGTAAAGCAGCTGGCTCTCCTTCTTCTCAAGTGGAAAGAGGGAAGGCGACTTCCAGAATCAACCTTAGATGAAATCACAAATGATGTGATTTCTTTCGTAAAATCCATTTTGGAACATAAACAACTCCAGCTCAACAACGAGGTGGCCGCCAACGTGAGGGAGCTATTCTGTGTTGACGAACTGGACCGGCTACTGACGACAGCTGGCCGGAACGCGTTCTGGAGGACACATCTTCCACTTGTTGAGCCCCGTACAGTAGTGCTAGGAACCAACAGCAATGGAAAAGACGACACCATGGAGTATGTGCCGCTCTGTGATCTCCTCACGTGTATCCTTGAACATCCAACCTTATCGGGTGACTTTAATGCTTACACAAAGGTTGACAACCATATGTGTTCTGTGTTTGATGGCAGTGCATTTCGCGACCATGCCTACTTTGAAGGTGACCATCACAAAATCTGCCTGCAGTTATATACTGATGAATTTGAGGTGTGCAACCCTTTGGGCAGCAAAAGAGGAAAGCATAAGATGACCGCCGTGTATTTCTCAGGGCTGAATTTTCCTGCAAGGTTCCGCTCTGCGCTATCAGGAATGCACCTGGCACTTTTAGTGAATGACCACCATGTGGACTCCTATGGTCTGCCTAAGATTCTTGCACCTTTGCTTGAGGATGTGAGCAGATTAGAAACTGAAGGCATAGTTGCAAACGGAAAAGTGATGAGAGGGTCAGTCTTTGTTTTGACTGGGGATAATCTGTCGAGCCATAGAATGGGAGGCTTTAAACGTAGTTTCAACAAAGGTAGGATTTGCAGGTTCTGCATGGCCGTGCACTGTGAAATCAACTACAAGCACCTGGAGACCGATTTCGTGCTGCGCACACCGGAAGGTCACGAGCATCATATGAACATGTTGAAGGCTGGACTGCCAACTGCATCATTGTATGGGGTCACTGCAGCTTGTGCTCTTACATGCCAGGGGTTCAATGCCACACAGCATTTTCCGCCTGACGTTATGCACGACTTGCACGAGGGTGTTATACCATTTGCACTAAGACACATCATTTCTTCCTTAATATAACAAGGACTTTTTACTCTTGCACAGTTAAACAAGGAAATTAGTGAGTGGAATTATGACCCTTGTGATGCGCGAAATAAGCCAGAGCCTATTTCTAGTGAATTTCTTAAAGGAAAGGCAACCATGAAAGGATCAGCCACGCAGGTCTTTTGCCTATTTCGTCATCTAACCTTTTTCGATGGCGAATGTGTTCCAACAGAACACGAAGTATGGCAACTTTACTTGCTTTTTCGCGAAATCATGGATATCATCATGAGCCGGAAAATCCCAGTCTCGCACATTGGCTACCTGCAAAGGAAGATTCATTTTTTTTGTCTCGACTTCAAGACATTGTTCCCATCTGTTAAAGTTCCTTGCAAAATGCACTACCTTATTCACTATCCGTCGTGCATGGAAAGGTTTGGACCATTAGTTGAACTTTGGGCGATGCGCTTCGAGGGAAAGCACCAATATTTCAAAGACATGGCTCGTAAAATCCGCAACTTTAAGAGTCTTTCGCACAGTCTAGCAGTGAGGCATCAGTTTTTGCAGTGTTTCTCTTTTGCAGCTGTTGGTGAGAAGAGCGTTCCCATCACAACAGGTTGTCGCCCCATACTTTGTGAACATCTTCCTGAATGCGTCAAGGAGTTTATCTCTCAGCATGATCTTGAAACTGTTGATTCATTCGTAGCGAACTCTGTGAGCATAGAAGGCAGGGTCTACAAAACAGGATGTGTTCTTGTCCAAAGTGTTCCTGACGATGCTCTGCCCGAATTTCTGCATATATGTCAAATTTTTTATGTTAACAAAGTGCTTTTATCTTTGGGGAATGTGCTTGAGACAGTCCGGTTCGACGAGCACTTTCACGTCTATGTTGTCCGTGCGACGCAAGAATTCAAAGTTGTAACATCACTTACAGACTGTACAACAGAACCATTATACATGCGGGAGCACAAAGGACAGACTGTTATAAGCGCACGTCACTCATTGCTATGAGATTTCATGGATCATTGAATGGTAGCCCACTCAGTTCTGGTGCTCTCTGCAGAAACTAGCTAAACAACGATGAGAGACAGTCGAAAAACAGGCAGTGAAAACAACTGTCACCTTTTCTCAGTTGACTCTTGCTGCGATAACTGGTTGGACAACACACACTGAGTAGAATTAGCTTTTTGATTGTTTAAAATGGTTGGACAAGACAGCTTATTTTTCTTGGTTTTTTTCTTTTGATAAATGTAAAAATAGAATGATGTCACTGTCGACAGTAAAGTCAAATGTCTCCTTTTTTCTCCTGGTTCTCCAGATTTTGTGTGATCTACACCAGGATACTGCATTAGCCCATATTTTAGGAAGTCTTATGTCTCGGACTGGTTTTTTATGGGTTCTGCTTCTTTATGTGTGTGAGTTCTTGTGCATGTCGTCATATTTTCAAATCAATATTTTTCATAGGTTGACATGGTAATGTGACAGGTTCTGGCAGCATGTCATGAATATTTGTCAAACATATTATATTTTGATTTCATGTTGTGTTGTCAGAAGTAAACTGGAGACTGATTTTCTTACTGCTACACTTCGATCAATAAATATTTGTAAAAAATGATAGCATTCAGAATTTCTCCCTGGTTTCCAATTTTTTGTGGATGGAGTAATTTTTAAGAAAATTGAATATGAACTCGTATAAAATTTTGTGAACACAAAAAATTGCACGCAGGAGAGGCACTTTATTATCAACTATTTGCATGAATTACAACTAACATTATAAAAAACGACTGCTAACAACCGATGTTTTTAAGCATAAATTTAACCTATACATTTATGGGGAGGTCCACATATAAGGTTTCAGAAATCCTTTCATATTATTATTTAGCACCCTCTTCTACACCCTTCTCACACCCTCCACTAAATGGAGGGTGTAACACGAAACAACACCCCTCTCGGTACAATAATGTGGGCGCAGTAGCTGATTTAAGGGTGCTAAAGGGGTGTAGTCAAGGGTGTAAAGTGCCAAAACACCCTTTTTACACCCTTAAAGGTGTAAAAACTTTTAGTGTGTAGCTCTCACGTTTCCTGTGGTGGACCTGGCCTCCTACAGATAATATTTCTTGGTTCCGTTTTAATTGTGCGTCATGGCAATCACCCACTTTGCTCTCGGACGCTATGCAAAAAAAAGAGAACAACATAAAATGAAAGATGCTTAAAAATTCTCTGCAATGCCAAATTAAAGCGCAGCTCTTAAGGAGGAGGAGGTAAGGGTACGGAGGAGGAGGAGGAAGGGCTTTCCTGCTCTCCTACCATTTAGCGGGAAGTTGTCGGTAGATTTCGAGCCCTTTAGGAGGAGGAAGGGAGTGCACGGAGAGGAGGGTATAGCGACCCTCACGGTCAGCATAAGGCGGTCTACAAAAGAAAGTGAAGAACAGGCGGGGCTCGCGCGTCGCGGGCACATAAAAAGCAGCTCGAATCCTACCGCTGTCTGTACTGGTTGCTATTAATCCAGCTCCTACAGAGTTGGTGACCCGGTATCGGACTCACGCCTTCCACCTTGCTGCTGTTTCCATGGCTCACGCCGGCCCATCAAACGTTCGTCACAGCGACGCACTCCTCACGGCAACGATCCAGAACATTCGGCTTCCGCCTTTTTGGTCCAAAAATCCCCGAGTATGGCTCATGCAAGTAGAGGCACAGTTCCGTCTCCGGCACATCACCAGCCAAGAGACGAGATACCTTCACACCGTCTCCTCCTTCCCAGCCGAAGTAGCCGAGGAACTGGCCGACATTCTCTCCACACCGGATCCGGTCAACCCCTTCGATTATTTGAAGGCAGCCATCCTTGACCGGAAGTCCGAATCGGAGCGCAGCAGGCTGCAACAACTTCTCACCACAAAGGAACTTGGTGACAGACGCCCATCGCAACTCGTCCACCGAATGCGCCAGCTGCTGGGAGACCAAAACCAGAACCCCAACAACCATCTCCTGCGTGAGTTGTTTCTCCAACGTCTTCCGCAGAACATGGTTCTGGTGCTGGCGGCCGCGGAAGACATATCACTAGACAGGCTTGCCGAGCTTGCTGACCGAGTCGCAAACTATTCGAGGTCCCCCAGCATCAGCACCGTTACTCCTCTGTCACCAACAACAACGGAAGACTCAAGATTTTCTCGTATCGAAGACCGCATTGATGCTCTAAGCTGTCAACTTGCTACCCTTGCACCTTTGACGCGGCATCGCCAACCACGGTTCCGCTCCCGTCGACGCTCGCGCTCTCGCTCCCGTTCCCTGGAGCGCACTTCCTCCAACACAGGTGAGGACGACACTACATCGGGTGTGTGCTGGTACCATCGTACCTTCGGAAACGCTGCCCGCAACTGCACCCCACCTTGCTAGGGCGGGAAGCTAGATGACCGGGCACTGGCGGCGGCAAGCGGCACCGGTCAACAGGAAAGCCGCCTCTTTTACGTCGTAGACAGGATAGCTGGCCTTCGCTTCCTTATCGAGACTGGAGCCGAGGTCAGCGTACTACCGGCCTCTTCTTTGGACCGACAACGCAAGCAAAAGACCTCCCCGCTCCAGGCGATCAACAACTCACCTATTGCCACCTACGGTCAGCGGTCCGTCACACTCAACATCTGACTGCGCCGCACATTTCGGCGGCTATTCATTGTCGCCGATATCAAGCAAGCTATCCTGGGCGCTGACTTTCTCAGCTTTTACAACCTTGACATTCATTCACAGCAAATCGTTGACTTGACCACACACTTCTCTGTGAATGGCGTGCTCTCAACCATCACGACGACAGCCATTCGCGCGTTTTCGCCGTCGTCAGACTACGAGAAAATTCTTGCGAATTTCCCAAACATCACGAGACCGCACACAAGAGAGTCGCCGGTGAAACACACCATCACTCACCACATCGCTACCTCTGGCCCTCCCGTTTTTGCTCGTCCTCGTCGACTGTCTGGAGAACGCCTGGCCATCGCTCGTCGCGAGTTCGAGCACATGCTCGAACTTGGAATCGTTCGTCCATCGTCGAGTAACTGGGCATCACCTCTTCACATGGTCGCCAAGAAAGATGCAGGCGACTGGAGACCATGTGGTGATTATCGCGTTTTGAACGCCAATACTCAACCTGACAGATACCCACTGCCTCAATTACAAGACTTCACCGGGAATCTGGCTGGATGCCAGATCTTCTCCAAGATCGACTTGGTGAAGGCATACCACCAGATTCCGGTGGAGCCTGCTGACATCCCAAAGACCGCCATCGTTACACCTTTTGGCCTCTTTGAATATGTGAGAAGGCCATTTGGCTTGCGGAATGCCGCTCAGACTTTTCAACGCACCATCAACGAGGTGACGCGCGGCCTAGATTTCGTATTCGCTTACCTAGACGATATTTTGGTCGCCAGCGCCTCAAAGACAGAACATGAGGAACATCTGAGCGCCCTTTTCACCCGGCTTGACGACTACGGTTTGGTCATCAACCCCAACAAATGTCTTTTCGGCGTAGCCAACATCGAATTCCTGGGCCACCTCGTCACCCCACAAGGCATCAAGCCTTTAGAAACCAAAGTCACCGCCATTCGTGACTTTCCTCAACCAACATCTTTAAAAAAAGTTGCGTCAATTCTTGGGCCTAGTAAACTTCCATCGTCGGTTCCTGCCGAAGTGTGCTGAGTTACTAAAACCTCTAACTGACCTGCTCGCCATGAAAAAGGAAGCCTCGGCATCTCTGAATTGGAGCGAAAGTGCAGCGTCTGCCTTTTCGTTAGCGAAACAGGCACTTGTTGACGCCGCAATGCTCACCCATCCTGCCGCAGACGCGCCACTCCGACTCCTCACAGACGCATCAAGCGTAGCTGTCGGCGCGGTTCTTCAACAGAACGTTTCTGGATGGCAGCCGCTCGGATTTTTTTCACAAAAACTCAAAAACGCTGAAAAGAGGTATAGAACCTTTGCACGGGAACTTCTAGCAGTGTATCTATCCATCAAACCTTTTCGCCACTTTCTTCGAGGGCCGGGACTTTTACGTTCTGACCGATCATAAGCCCCTGACATGTGTGTTCCATCGAAACCACACCGACTACACCGCGCGTGAGATCCGGCACCTCTGCTTTATCTCAGAGTTTACCGTCGATCTCCGACATGTCAGCGGCCAGGAAAACACAGCTCCTGACGCACTCTCTCGTGTAGCAAACATT